TCGGTTTTTATGACAGGTTTTGATAATACCAAACCGCCGCGACATATCGAAGCTAAAGTGAGCAAAACTAAGGCGAAGGAACATGGCATGATGACTTGAGAACCAAGAACCCAGAATCAAGAACGAAGAACTAAAATTGTATTGAGTCGGTCTTAATGTGATCCAGACCGGCACAAAATTCCAAATCTTGGCTCTCTAGGCTCAATTCATAAAAATCTATTTTACATGTTCAAAAATATTTTTCTTAAGTTTAAACTTGGGTCAAAACACTTGGAGTTCGCCCAAGCCAAAAACCAAGCCATCCGGCGTTCGGCTTTCAGAAACTGGCATTCGGCTTTCAGTTTTCGGCATTGGTTTTTGGCGTTCGAACCAACCAAGTGGTTTTCAACTTTTTATGACTGGTTTTTACCTCTGGGCATATTTAATTAGCTCACCAACAAAAACGCCTCAAAAACCACTCTCCGTTTTTTGTCGTTTAGTAAAAACCATGCGAAACGGCACGAACTTGGTTAGCCGTGGTTTTCAACTAAATGACGTGCTTTTCAAGATGTTTTACTTGTTCTCTTAGCAAAATTCAATAAACAAATGTTTTCTAAACTTGGTTTTTATTTTGGAGAACTTGCATTTTTGACATCGGCTAACGGCGTGACTAAACCAACCATGGGTCTGGCTAAACTAGCCCAACAGCGATGTGGAGGTAATCAACAGCGCTGTCTGGACTGGGTAGCTAAAAACATGGTTTGGCGTTAAGTCTTCCAATAGCGATGTTGGTCACTAGACATCGCTGTTGAGCCAAGGTTGGATTTCCAGAAACTTCTGGAACAGCGATGTAGGCTTCCCTACAGCGCTGTCCAACTTTGGACAGTGATGTTGACCCAGCAACAGCGCAGTCAGGCCAAACTTCCATCTCCAAAGGCAGACCTAAACAGCGATGTTCTAGTATAGAACATCGATGTAGAGACCTGACCGTTGGAAGGAATTTAAGGCTAAAACTTTCCTTGTTTGGAAGTCAACAGCCAAAACAGCGATGTAGGGGTTTTGGACATCGCTGTTGGCATGACCGTTGCTTC